ATAGAATAGAATAGAATAGAATAGAATAGAATAGAATAGAATAGAATAGAATAGAATAGAATAGAATAGAATACTTTTATTGTTATTGCATTCCACCAATATAATGAAATTTGAAAGCTACTTCAGCACAGTGCCCCAAACATCACATCACAATCATACTACAGAATAATAATAATAATAATAACAATAATAATATTTAAAAAATCACAAATGCGCTGTTTGATTCTAGACAATTACTGCCTTGGAAAAGAAACCGTTTCTCAATCTATTAGTCCTCATTTTAAGACACCTATAATGCCTCCCTGATGGTAACAGTTCAAAATATGAACGTCCAGGGTGAGAATGGTCTGTGGAGATTTTTAGTGCTCTAGAGAGGAGTCTGGTCTTCGCAATCTCTTCCAAAGAAGAAAGAGAGCAACCGATGATTTTTTTTGTGCAGTATTTATAACTCTCTGGAGCATCTTCTTATCCACTGCAGAGCATCCAGCATACCACACCGTTACACAATATGCCAAAATGCTCTGAATGGTAGAACAGTAAAAAGTAACCAGCAACTCCTCACCCAAACTCACTTTTTTTCAGCAACCTCAGAAAGTGCAGGCACTGTTGGGCCTTCTTTGCAATGGCCATAGTGTGGACCAACCAAGTAAGGTTGTCAGAAATATGAGTTCCTATAAATTTAAAACTATGTACTCTTTCCACACAGTCTCCATTGATATATAGTGGGAGAGGCTCTGCTTTGCATCTTCTGAAGTCTATAATCAATTCTTTGGTCTTTTTGATGTTCAGGGTGAGGTTATGACTCTTACACCACAAGATCAATCTTATCTAGCATTTGTTTAAATGTGCAAATATAGATCAAATCAAATGTCATCTTGTTTGGTCCTGCCCAACTGTATAAATATTTAAATAGCCCTATTTTGTTTCATGGGACTTTTTTTTCCAAATGTGTATAGACCTAGGGTTTTGTAAGCTATATATTAACTAAAAAAGAATGTTGTGAAAAAAATGTTCACAGAAGAAATGTTCTTCCACAACATTCTTTTTAGTTTAAAGTATAGCTTACAAAACCTACATAAAGCTAAAAAAGGGCAGCAAGAACTTCTATTAGGATCTCATCTGAATAACTTGAACCATCCTCTTCCTCTTCCTTGTGTACTATTTATTATTTAATTTTATTAATGTTATTAATTTATTAATTCTTTTATTAATTTTATTATTTATGTATTATTTAATTTTATCTCCCATTTCCCTAGCCCACAAAGCATTCAAAACAGCAATACGGCAGCTCTAAAAAAATCATACAAAAATGTGTATTTCATCTATAAACTCCTTCTGTTGTTAGGAAGGTCAAAGAGTGCGGTGCAGGAAAAGAGGAACTTACTTTGGGATTCATGTGATGTGATGATGAGAGAAAAGGGGATGGTTTGTAGTTTGGGACATTGTGGGAAGTCCGGGAAACTTTTAGTTTCGAAATTCCACAGATGTGCCAGGTACTTTTGAGATGATGCTTGTCTCAGAGTTACTGATTGGAATGGCGGTTCCCTGGAATGCTGACATATCGCTTTTATAAAATTCCAGATCAATCTGAACAGCGTGTTGTCTGGACATAATTAGTTTTAACTACAAATACAATGTTAATCAACATAAATCATAATAATAATCATAATAAACATATCAATATTAATCACAAAGTGATAATGCAATTAGTTTATCCATCTTGAAAAGTTATCAATCAGAAAATGTTTATTATTTTTAATCTTTTTGGTTTGTAACCTCTGTTCCTGTTAGTTAGCCATTGGTAAAACAAGTCCCATGATAAAAAGTATTCTGTTTCTTCCTTGTCTTTTAAGTGTTAATCTGGCCCTCTCAGCACATTCTAATATTTTTAATCACATTTTTCTCTGTAGGGATTTCTTCATTTTTCCACTGCTGTGCAAACACAATTCTTGTTCCATTAGTACATGTAAAATTAAATATGTTTTCCCTTTGCCATACTGATCTGGTAACATGCCCACCAAAAATATCTCTGATTTCAAATCTACATATTGTTTTATCATTTCTTCTAACAAAGTATGTATTTTAGTCCAATATGTTTTTTGCAGAAGGACCACATAATTGTAGTCCAGGAGTGTCAAACTCAAAGCCCGCAATGGGGTTAGATCCAGACCATCCCAGTCTACTCGGGTTACTTTGGCCCGGTCTACCCAATGCAGAGAGAAAAGATCAGGCCAGCCAAGCTTTAGCCCAGTCTACCCAATTAGGCCAGCGTGGCTTTGGCCCGGTCTACCAGGTGTGAAGAGGAACACCAGCAAAGCTTTAGCCCGGCCTACCCAATGCAGTGAGGAAAGATCAGGCCAGTGAAGCACCAATGTCCAGGTGTAACCACCAAAATATGAACCCAGGATTGAGAGAGTTTGAGAAGAGCCTTCAAAGTCAACTGTTGAATCAAGATGTTTCTTCTTTCAGGTGGGCATGATGGAGAAGGGACCTACCATCCTTCACCCCAAATCCTCCTCCTCTGTTTCAAGGCATCTTCCTCTTCCCCTCAGCTTTCCCCAGAGAAAAGAAAGGGAGGGCTGGAGCAGCCCTGAAGTTTGAGGTTTCACTGAGGAAAGACTCCGTTGTCGGTTTCTCCTCTTTCTTTATCCTGTCTGAATGTAAGGTTATTACCCCGTTAGGCAATCCAAGCCATGATTCAACAGGGATTGGACCTAATCTTGCTCATCCCAGCATCACTGCCTGCTGGAACCTGGAGAAAGACTCTCTACCTGTGGGTTTTATAAACGGGATGTTTTGAGGGGGAAATTAAAAAATCAAAACATTTGAATTGAATGCTGAAGTTTATTCGATTCTCAGAATACAGAACTAGCAGTAGGAAACTTACAGAACAAGAGAAAAGGGAAAGATGATGAGGTGTCAAAGAAAGCAGGGGAGAGGAGGATTGTGAACCCTTTGGTGTTAAAGGCCAGAAGCATAAATTTTCAAGGATGGCCATGATGGATGAGAGCAAAAGGATTTTAGCCACTCGTAGAGCTATTGGTTGCATTTGTCTGTTGCGCAACACCTAACGGTTTCATGGGTTTTTGCTTCAGGGCAAGTAGCAGCACATCCCCTGATGGCCCTCCATCCTATGAAGAAAACACAAAGAAGAATGATTTTTTTTTACCAAATACCAAAGAACAGATCTGCGGCTGTTGCCGAACAAAATGGTAAACCCACACTGTACACATTCATGCATCCCCTCTCAGTAGGAAGGCAGATCTCCTTCCTCCTCTACTCAAAACTCAGGAGTAAATGAATGAAGAAGAGATTTCTGGGAAAGTGTTTTGACATGACTCGGGGACAACGGAACCTTTCTTGGATGTTTCATGGCTTCATCCAATTTCCTACAATTCCTGAACAAACCTGCAGGTCTCCCAACCTTCCCCCCCCCCCCATTTTTCTAAAAAGGGTTTCCCACTCCAGTCTGGGCTGTTGCTGAGAAAGTTGGGGTTCCTCAGTCCAATCGCCCCTTTTCTTGCATTCCTTAGACTGTCCAGCAACAGAACATGACCTCAGGGGAACCCAGGCAGGGCACAGATAAGTCCTACGTGACCTCCAGTTCTCAGGTGCATTTGGGAGCTCCAATCTGGATTCAAGAAGAAGGAAAGCTGTGAGTGAAGTTAAGAACTGTGCTTACCTAATTGATTACCCTCATACCACCTTTTAAAGCATAGGTCCTGCCCAACTGGACAAGTGTGAAAGGTTGTACAATACCGTGTGGAGCAGTTGAGACATTTCCTGGTGTATCCTGGATGAAAGATATAAAATATAGAAATATTACTTTGATATTTATTTTTCTGATCTTGTAATCTCATTACATATGAGATAATACATCTTTTCATACTAAGGTCAGCTGTGAAAATTTCTCTAGAAAGATCAAATGGGCCTAGAAATAGGAAACCTGAGTTCCAGTCCCACCTTAGGCATGGAAGCCATCTGGATGACTATGGGCCAATCACCAGGAGACAGTGAGTTCTAGTCCAACTTTGGTCATGAAAAGCAGCAGGTGACTCTGGGCCAATCAACAGAAGACAGTGAGTTCCAGTCCCACTTTAAGCATAAAAGACAGCTAAGTGATTTTGGATTATTCATCCACTCTCTGCCCATCCTACCTCACAGGGTTGTTGCTGTGGGGAAAATGGGAGGAAGGGGTACTAGATTTCTTCGTTCCCTTGAGTCATTACAAAACTACATAGCTATAGCACTTAGACTTTTATACGCTTCACAATGTTTTGCAGTCCTCTATAGGCAGTTTATAGAGTCAGCCTATGGTCCCCAAAAATCTGGGTCCTCATTTTACCAACATTAGAAGCATGGAAAATCTAGTCAACCTTAAGCAGGTGAGGATCAAACTACCGAACTGCAGGCTGACGGCAGTAAGCAGAATTAGCCTGAAATACTGCATTTTGACCACTGTGCTGCAATAGCTGGGATAAAAGCCAGGATAAAAAAAATCCCTAACCACTTCTGAAACAGGCCATGAAATAAAAGCAAATTGAAACCTAAGTAGTTGGTCTCTCTGTGGAAGCTAAGCAGGGTTGGTGTTGGTTAATCTTAGGATGGGAGACCCCCAAGGGTGGGATCCAACCAGTGTAACTTCCGGTTCGGTGATTTTACATTTTGCTGTGCGAGTGTGTATATCATTGTCAACTAGCTGCCTAGACAGCTGAGCAGGTGCCCAGCCATTGGAAAAGCCCCCCTTTTTCCTGCTTTTTCAATCACAGCTGTGTCATGCAAAGCAGCTGAGGTTGAAAAAGCAGGAAATAAAGGTCAGGTAAGAGCCCTGGTGGGTGGGTGGGCCAAAACAGCAGCAGACATAGAACCGGTTCTATGTATTGTCTCTGTTTGCTGCTCTTCAGAGTAACCGGTTCTACCGCGGTGGACAGAACTGGTAGAATCCCACCCCTGGAGACCCCCAAGATTGTATGAAAGTTTGAGGAGTCTCAGAAATCTCAGCAGCAGCAACCAATGTCAGGTTGATGTTGAGGAATGTCCAGGCTTGACTTGAAGGAGGCATCTCTGGTCCCCTTTGGCTGTACCATCCAAAATACTGAAGAATGGCAAAGCCAGAGAGAGGTGAGCAGAAACATTTTTCATCTCATTCCCTGGAGTAATCCCATGGCAGAACTCACTACGCAAAGGAACCTCTACTTTCAGAGGCAGTCTACCCCAGAATGCCAGTCTGGAAAAAGTCCCTGTCTCATGGCCGGCTCTCCAAACATAGACCTCCTCTTCTCCCCCAAAGGTTCCCATGGACAATCCTTGTGCAGACCAGAACAGTAAGAAAGTCCCACTGAAAAAAAAGGGACCACAACTGCCTCAAATACCCTCCCTTACTCTTCCCCTTTGTTTTGGGTTTGATTGCCACCCAAGATCAAAGTATGGTAGCCTTACCTAAGTCCAGGCACACGATTGTCACCACCACCAAGGTCAGCAGCAGAGTTTTCATCTCACAATCTTCTCTGGAGCTTGCAAAGTGTAGCCCAGGATGGAAGCAGACGCTTATTTATACCCCTCTGAGATGGAGGTGGGTAGGTGGGGCTGGATTTCTAGAATGTCTAGTGAGAAGAACAGGGAGATTTGGCAGGAAAGGGAAGGCCAGGGGGTGTAGCTTTTTTGCCTCCGACAATAAAATGGAGGCCAGATCAGATAAGGTGAAGAACCAAACATTCCCAGACTTCAAAGCAAATGCTTCTATTCTGCATACAAAACCTGAGCACCTGGACAATTGGCATCTCTTCCTGTGTTTATACAAGATTATACAATCCTTACATAATGCAAAATTAAACAAAATATCTCTCTGCAAAGTTCAGTGCCTTCCTATTTTTCATTTGTACTTCAGTTAATGAAATGGGAAACTTCTCTGAATCTTCCAACCTCTCACTGTAGATCTGCCTTCCTTCAAGAGACATGGCCTCCATTGAGCAAATCGGAGCATGAGTGGTTCTCTCTAAAACTAGCCACTGCGATAAAGGATTTGCAAGATCCAAAAGTCAGGATAAACAAGGGAGACAGACAGAGCATTTGTCAAACATGGCAGTAGGGTTTCTGGTACAAAACTACCAGAAGGAACAGCAGGACAGATGATTTCAAGGGATGCCTCGAGTCATAGGTCAACAATTACTCAGCTGATTAGACAAACTCTATTTGAATCCCCACCCAAATCTTATCCATTCAAAACAGTTTAGTAGCTGACAACACTAGACTTAACAACTGCCTCGATCTCATCTTCTGCAACAGTTTTAATTCAATTTACGGACTACAAATTAATGTACCCTTTTCCAACAGTGACCACAGCATGATTGACTTTTGTCTCAACATACATCCTCACAAAAATCACCATAACGACAGGATCCCCAATTATATCTTCAAAAAAGGCAACTATGATCTTATAGACAACGATCTCTCATCTCTTGATTGGCATATTTTATTCACTGGATGCAATGCTGTTGAAGACCATAACAACATATTTTTACCTGAGGTGAAAAGAGTCATCAAACTATATATACCAATAACAACTCCCAAAACCAGGAAAAACAAACTACCCATAATAATAAGGAAACTCCAATCCAAAAAGAAATTCCTTTGGGAGAAAAACAAATCTGGTCATGTTGCCAAGTTTAAAAGCCGATACAAAACTTTATGCCACCAGATAAAGAATGAATGCACCAGTTATCACATTAAACAAGAGGAAGATCTTCTACGCACCAATTCCACCCACGCTTTTTACAATTTTGTAAACAACAAACTAAAAGACTCAAGGCCCATCCCACCCCTGAAAGGACCTAATGGTAAAGACTGCAAGAATGACACCATTAAAGCCAACATCTTTAACACATTCTTTGGCTCAGTATTTGTAAACAGCAATGGATCAAGCCCAATATTTCCTAGTTGAACCACAGACAACTAAAATGATCTAATACGTATCAATTTTACAGAAGACAATGTTGAACAAGCACTAACAATCTAACACCATCTCTATCTATTGGACTGGACAGAATATGTGCCTACTTCTTTAAAAAGCTGTCCAGTGCCATAGCCGAACCTCTAAGCATAATCTTTGAAAAATCTTTCAGGACCAACTCCTTGCCAAACCTATGGTCACTAGCCACGGTCATCCCCATCTTCAAAATGGGAAGCCAGATTCATTTAAAACCACATTACTAACTGAACATCTGCACAAGTAAGATCATAAAATGGGGCAGAACTCATTTGGGCAAATGTCTCACTTGGCAACAGAAATTCTGGCATCAATTTTGGTCATAAGTCAAGGACTCCCTGTATATCACTGTCCTTTGTGGTAGTGAGTTTGTGCTATGTGTGAAGAAGCACTTCCCTTAGCTCAGCTTGTCTTTCCTGCCTTTCAGCTTTATATAGCGTTTGTTTAAATGTGCAAATATAGATCAAATCAAATGTCATCTTGTTTGGTCCTGCTCAACTGCATAAATATTTAAATAGCCCTATTTTGTTTCATGGGACTTTTTTTTTCCACATGTGTATAGACCTAGGGTTTTGTAAGTTATACATTAACTAAAAAAGAACGTTGTGAAAAAAATGTTCACAGAAGGAATGTTCTTCCACAACATGCTTTTTAGTTTAAAGTATAACTTACAAAACCTACATAAAGTTGAAAAGGGGGGAACAAGAACTTCTATCAGGATCTCATCAGAATAACTTGAACTCTTCCTCCTCCTTGTGTACTATTTATTATTTAATTTTATCTCCCATTTCCCTAGCCCACAAAGCATTCAAAACAGCTATACATCTGTGTTTTTCTATATCGGGTAATACTGCAGCTCCACAGAAATCATACAAAAATGTGTATTCATCTATAAGTTCCTTCTCCTAGGCAAACGTATGGAGAAATTGCTAAAATTCCCAGAAATATGCACATACTCTTAAGGATTTTTTTTCACACACTTGTACAGTGTAGATTTTCTGACAGATTTTATTCTTTGCAAACCGAAATAACATGAACTTAATTTAAGGTTGGAGAATCAGAAAAATGAACAAAATTGAACTTGACAAATTTGCCCTTATCAGGTCTCAGCCCATAAAGATTTTACCTACATAATTTATTTATAACTTCCTTTCTTGCCTAGAGAAGGAGGAAAAAATGCAGCCCAGGATTTTCGATTATCAAGCCATTTAGATTGATTTTTTTTTTAATGTAGAAAAGGAAAAAGCTTCAGAAATATAGAACAGAAAGCCCCCAGCAGATTTAGAGAAAGCCCCCAGCAGATTTATTTGCAGGTATGGATGCTTAATTTGGGGTTATTTACTATTTTACAAAGAAATATCACTGTGTTTCATTAATTTTAATGTAGAATTATAAGTCATACGTATACTAATGTGCATTATACTTTATCTGGATTTTTATAGAAGTTTTTTATAGATTTTTATAGAAGTTTTAATGCCCAAAAGAGGAGTTTGATCTCAAAGAGGATACAGCATGTAGCCAACCAGAAATAGCACAAGCACTTAGACTTATATACCACTTCATAGTGCTTTTACAGCCCTCTCTAAGCAGTTCACAGGGTTTGCCTCCAACAATCTGGATCCTCATTTTACCAAACCTCAAAAGGATGGAAGGCCTTGAGCCAGTCAGGATCGAACTACTGGCAATCAGAAGAATTAGCCTGCAATACTGCATTCTAGCCACTGCGCACCATGACTCTGGTATATGAAATGGTACAAAAAATGCCTCTTTTATATAAATTACCCAAGTGTGCTTCATCATGACAAGCAAAGAGCCTATCAAGCTTGCCTGTGGGTTGTGGACTTGGCCTTTGAGTATTTTATGACTCCCCACTACACACAAACAAATTCCACAATTATAAGATTGTAAAATCAGAAGGGAACACTTACCTCATCTAGTCCAACTGCTGCTTTGCGCAGGCAAACCAATTAAGCCATCTATGATAGGTGATTATCTAACACCTTAAAAATCTCCAGAAAAGGAGATTCCACAGCCTCCAAAAATAGGCTATTGCACTGTTGTGGTGAATTTAGGAAGTTGTTACTTGTATTTAAACAAAATTTGAATAGCTACAAATTCTATCCATTATTTCTGGTCTTATTATTTGGTAGCCATGGAAAATAGTTCTTGACTGCCTTCCCTGTACCTTTCCTGCATGTACCCAAACAAGCTAACTTGTCTACCCTAATCCTTCTTTTCTCCAGGTTGAACATTGCCTAACCTTATAGGGCATGTCTTCAAGATTGTTTGATGCAAGCAACCAGAATGAATAGTGTCAAGCAGAAGCTTTATTGTTAGTCAACTATATTACAAGAATCTCGCCAGACTGACTACATTTCCTTGGGAACAGTCAGATAAGGCTTCAAGTATTCTGGGGAAAGTTAGACCGGCTCTGCTTTCTGCAGTGGAAGGATTCTAAGCTTGTCCCCCTCTTAACTCCTCCCTCCAGCTTAGTTGGAGATTGTACCACAGGAGTGGTCTCATCATTGCCCAGAAGAAAGAAATAATGGTTTCACTTCTCTTTGAGAATGCACGGCTTCTAATACAGCACAGAACTGTATTATTCCTTTGGGGAGCTGTCTCCCATTACTTAGTGGTGAATGGGATTGGAAAAAAAAAACCTACATTTGATTTGATTTCATTCACACTGAGTTAAAATCAAACATAGAGAACATGATTCATCTCCAGTTATGTCAGTAGCAATTCTTCCCTCCTGTCATTTTAAATAGGATTTGTTTAGTGTCCTGCCAATGAGGAAGAATCTCTAAAGGTTTCTGAAGGGATACCATTCAAAGTTTTCAGAGGTTGCACATAGCCCAGGGGTTGCCAGAGAATGGGCCTCTTCCTGTTACAACAGGGAAGTTCCAAAGGGTGGCAAGAATAAGTGGAACGCGTCCTACCCTAAGAATTTTCTGCAACTTTAATCTAGAACAGGAGTTACTAAACTGGAAGGAACCCCAAACCAAGATTCACAAAGAATTTTTACAGAAATAGCAGGCTGATTTTAGGGACATCTGAGTGAAGCTCCATAAGTTTTTTTAAAGATAAAACCCATAAAGGTGGATGAAGGTGAACATCCTGTCTCATATAGGTCCAACATTTTCTCTGAGGTTGCTAACTAGCAAAGGTGTCTGTTTTACTGATTGATATGACCTCTTTTATCTTGCTTCCTTTGAAAGAGAACTTGAAGCAAGATGCAAATATTCTATAAAAGGACATCGTTCAAATGCAATGCATGTAACACATTCCATTTTATTTTATTTTTTTTAAAAGAGCAGCTAGGAACAATTACCCTTCAGTGTAATAGACTGGACATCATTTATATAATTGTGAACTATAGACAGGAGAGAGAGAGAGAGAGAGAGAGAGAGAGATCCCGTTTCATTCTATATCGACTCTCACTTATTTTCTTTTATCTTACATCTTATTAAAGGTGACAATTTAATGTATTGAGCAGCGTAATACTTATCATATTGGGTAGCTAGGGGAAATATCTAAATACAAGTCCTTCCTGGATGACTCTGGAATATTGTCAGAGCCACCACAGATATTCCATCTCTCAATCCTGCCTAATTTAAAGAGCTTTTGTGGTAACAGTAAAAAGATTGCCATATTAAATGTCTTAGAGAAAATGCAATCAATACATTCAATGAATACACTTTTGCAAAGGTCTTTAGCAGCATGGCTAAAGTGTTGGGAGCAAAGAGATGAAGCAAAAAAAGAAAATATGCATGGATATTTCCAACCAAAATCTGAGGTCAAGGGTTTTTTTTCTGAGTATATCATCATGGATTATACTTAGAAGTGGGGGGAAAGAGGGGTATTTGGAAGGGAACTCAACTTGTGCCAATCTAACACTGAAAAGAAACACAACAATCAATTGCTGGAGTATTTAATGATCTGTGGAATTATTGTTACGGTTACAGAATAGAGTTGGAAGGCACATTGGAGATATACTAGACCTTATACTATTTCAGATAGCTGGTTGTGTAGTGTCTTCTTAAAAACCTCCAGTGTTGAAGCACCCACAACTTCTGAAGGCAAGTTTTCCACTAATTAATATTCTCACTATCAGGAAGTTTCTCCTTAATTCTAGATTGCTTCTTTCCTTGGTTAGTTTCCATCCCTTGTTTCTTATCTTGC